GCCCAGAAAGGATTAATATTGTATAGCAATGCTTGGTTCGGGGTCTTGCTGCTTCCGGGCTGCTTGGGCAGCCTGGGGTTGGAAGATCTCTGGACTGGAAGTGTTAATTCTTGCCTGTGACTTTTTGAATAAACCAGCACGGTTATATTTTTATAGACTCGAGTGGTCTGAGTCGTCCCTCTGAGTTCCTGGTTTGAAAGAACCGGACGAGGCTTTATAATAGAATAGAGCCTTTACCGGGATCTTGCCCTTTCGGTCATGACCCGAAGCTCACGACCATAGCTCCTAGGATCACTCGGGTACTCAAACCCCTCCACCACAATAAAGTGGTTCAAGGAGGGGGCAAGTATTAATTCAAAATATTTAATACATCATTTAGAAAAAAAAATTATCCAAGGAGCTTCAATCATTTGTAGGCTACTTTGGAAATCCAACTTTCCCTGTTTTTCACTTGGATACTTTTATTATTTAAAAAAAAACAACAACAAAGCATGAAAAATTCCTTCGTTTTCTCTTGTCTCCTGCACTGATTGTTTTGAAGAAGTCCTGAGAAATGCTTGTCTTTACAGAGCCGATTCCCTTTACCATTAATTTACCAAGATCTAATTGAGCCAAAATCAAGGTCAGAACTTTGAGGTTCCATTTATTATTATTATTATTATTAAATTAGGGTTTGGGCTTTTGATCTAGGCAGAAGTTTGGTATCAAATGTGGGCAGGGCTAAGACTCGGAAGGGTGACTCATCCCAGGGCCATAAAACAATCTGAGGGTGTTGTCTAGCAACAGATTTTGACAGGAGCTGTGTTGTATATCTCTCTCTGTTACACATTCTGTGGGATGATGTGAATGTAATTGGTTATGAAGATCTGTCATCTTTTACAGTACATTACATACAGCTGAAGTCAGGAGTTTGCATACAACTTAGCCAAATACATTTAAACTCATTTTTTCACAACTCCTGACATTTAACCTAATAAACATTCCCTGTCTCAAGTTTGTAGGCTGCCTTGTTTGCACACGCTTTTTCAGTTAGTTTCAGTTTCACTTATTTTAGATTGGTCTCTGCATTCATGCTTATCTCAGTGTTGGTGCTCATTGTTTATGTGCCATTAGATTTATCATGACCTAGATGACTGAACTTTTTCATATATGTATGTTTTATGAATCACAGCTTTAAAATTTGTTTCAGTCTATATCCCTGAATTTACTTTGTGTCACTTGACAGAGCAAAATTATCAAACCTTAAACTGCTTTGTCTAGTTGAACTGATCAAAGATTGTTATATAGTCACCATACAGTAACCACTACTTGTTTAATTTATGACATTAACCAGAAGTAAATCTGTATATCAGCCACAGACAATGAGATTAAGACCGTAACATTTTATTCAGCAATGTAAAACTTTATCTTCTGAATCCCATATATCTCATAGTAGTGAATGTTTTACACAACAAGGACAATTCAAAGTCAAACAATTTGAAAAGAACATTTTATCTCCTTGAGTTTTACTTCTGTGGACATCCAAAGAGTGTGTACTGCTGGACCATCTCCTGCATGCCCAAGCAGGTGGGTCTGTGCTCCTCAAATTGACACTCTCTCTCTGTGGGCCAGTACTCGATCCAGGTTCTCCCACCGAGCATGTACTGATATCTGTGGAGAGCAAAGTGAAAAA